CAGATCGGTTTTCTCATTGATGCTGTCTAGAACACTTTGCTCGCTATCCATTGTATCAACTGTCGGTTGGCAATCAGGACTGTTAGTAGCTGCTCCAGATCTAACATTCTCTTCCATAAACGAAATCACAATGACAAGACGTGTCTCTCCATTGGTATGTAAGAGCCATAAGCGGGCATCCTGTGTTACATCTTCAAGCGATTCAGCCCAACCAGCCTCACACACGACCGTTGGAAACCGTCTATCTAGTAGCTGGATATAGGCATCAGGAAGTTTTCTGGATGTGCCAAACCCGTCTCCAGCAAAACCTGAAAAGGCTAGAAACAGTTAGTTAAATTGAATTGAAAGGAAGATGTATTATGCCACATACTTGTCCCAGAGGCAACAGCTACCATCATCTCAGCATGTGCTCTGCCGAATGTTTCCGCAATTGAAAGCACAACCTCATGGGCAAAATAAATTTGAAGTAAATCATGTATCGGGAGTGGCTTGCATTTGATGTGAAAACTTAGGGTATGAAAATTGTATTCGTAGCCTAGGTTGTTTCTCTCAGCAACTTCCGGGTATCGGCTCACCCAGTTCGCCAGATCATCGTTCGAGATTTTTCTGATTCGCAATCTTCCTTCATTTCCAGCTTGTAGCTTCAACATCTGTTTTGGTCCAAGCCCCCTTAAGCGTGAAGGTAATTCCATGATATCCGCTCAGTTGGATTCGTAAAGAAGAGACAGTTGGTTGGGGTCAGAACTCAGTAGGGGTCCGGTATGTGCTGTGGAGCTGTCTTTTACCCAATAGACATCAACAGGGGCTGTGCTGACCTTTGGAGAAGCTAGAGGAGATGGGGTTTTAGGGCTAAGTCTTTTTCTGCGTGATTTGATGGGAGGTATGTGACCGCTGCTGTGACCACAGTGATAGCATAAGTTGGCCGAGGTGAGCACAGGGCTGCTATTTTTAATCTGAATCGGAACAGCTCTGAACTCTCTTGAACCAGAGTAGTCATTACCGCAGAACTAGTGTTCGTTACAGGGCGGGGCGGGGCAGGTTTCGCACTCGGGGGCCCCGCCGTTACACGGGCCCGGGGGGGACATTTCAAAGGTAGTCTCCACCCCGCCCCTGTCTGGGGCCCGACCCCGCTCTTTCCCTGGACAGGCCCGGTTTCCCGCCTGCTAAAGTAGACGGGAGGCCGTCAGGGGCGTGGGCGGGGTGGGGCCCTGGGCGGGTGACGGGGTGGGAAAAGCCGGAAAAAAACACCCCACCCCGGGCTGGTGAGCGGGCCGGGACGGGGAACGGGGCCGGGGGCCTGGCTTTTTCGGGGCACCGGAGGCCCCGTAAAGAACACTATGCAGAACACACTCATGATGTAAAGAATACCCCTTTGGTATATAAAATTGACACCAGCAGTGTTATGAGGTAAATAAAAATGGAAAAATGGAACTCTGGATCAAATAACAAATTCATGAAAGGGACAAGAGAGTATTGTTAGGGGGTAGGTAACTCTAAGGTCAAGCGAGTTTACACTAGGCCCTGTAATCTTCTGTCTCAGAGATCGTCAAGAAGGCTCGTAAAGATAGAAGTAAAGTAGAACGAATATATTGATAAGATCTCTTCTCCGGTCGCTGATGATAGAATACGAAGCTCAGGAGGCACCTCGATATTTATAGTGCGCATCTGGGTGGTCGCGCCCTACGTCCAATCCCTCACTGACTATGTACCTGCCATACTAACAGTTCAGTGTTCTTGAGGTGCGAACCCCATTTGACCCTGAAAACTAACTTTCCCGCTCTCTTCCTTAATGGAGTGATCAGCTCCGTCAAAGGACTTATCAATGACTCTTCTATGTGCATAGCTTAGAGTGCATGACAGAGATAACTGACTCGACCAGTGAGTTGTTATTAACTAATCGTAAACTAGTCTCCGGATGATCCTAGTTTTACGCAAGCAGAGGATAGTGCGGCTACTTCTCGGTAGTGCCAGCACCAAGACTTCCAGATGTCCTAGTGTAATAACTAATCGACCAATCTGGTTCAACTAAGTCTTATCTTATAGAGGGGAGGTCCTTCTATATTATCCAGCGAAAACCCCTTGGTCCCTTATCTTATCCCATCGATAGTGAAAGGGTAAAGACTTACAGGACGCCTTATCGTTTCGTGCGGTAATGAAATACCGTCACGATAACTGCGGCGGGGCCTGGAGTCAAACACGTGACCTTATGCATTTAGTCATGTGCCGCACCGATTGCGCTGTCTGAGTATAACAAGTATCAATGTGGAGAAAGTTGTGGAGAGTGAAAGGAGGAAAAAGGAGTGGAGAGTGGAAGGAGGAGAAAGGAGCAGAGAGTGGAAGGAGGAGAAAGGAGCGGAGAGTGGAAGGAGTATGAACAAAAGCCAGGAGTATACCTACATGCTGCTGGACACGAATACTACCTCCACATAGTGCCATCCTCATTGCTTAAGTGCCAACCAAACAGAAACCAGATTTATCATATTTGTAAGTATTGTAAATCACCGGTACTCTGGATAATGGTCCTATTGGAATTCCCTATCCGGATTGCGGGGTAGTGAAGAAGTCCCTCATGTTACTATTGGTTTCGTGTTTGTAATGCTTATGGGTTTCATTTATCAGCAGGATGGAAGGTTCTCGGTTTTTCTCTGCAGAGGCCTGTACTGATGTACTAGTAAGTCTACTCGGGAGACAAGGAAATATGTAACATGTGGGAATATGGAAAAGTATGACTGGTTGACAAAAGAGGGGTAAAAGGGAAGTTGAGAGATGTTCATGGAAACAGGAAGTGGGGTAAAAGAGGGGTTACCGGGAGTGTATTAGGAGGCTGCAAGGAATTTTCTCTCATTGTCAATGTATATAAAGGCAGATAGTTATCGGAAGAGGATGGAGCAGAAGGACGGCGGACATTGACACAGAACCGAATACGAGACATTGAAACCGGTAAAGAACCAGGAGCTTTTACTGCGCCGAACGAGACACTTTCGAGTACGATTTACAACAGTAAGAACAGAAGGCTTCTCCGGTAACCATGCACCTGATATTCAGCTTCACAAACACAACACTAGAGCCGAATGGCAAGTTGAGTGATGTGGTTTCATGGTGTAGTTGGTTATTACACCAGTCTAACACGCTGGCGGTCCCCAGTTCCAGCTCTGGCGAAATCTTTTTTTTCTAACCCTGGGCATCAACACTACCTTCGTGCTCTACTCTTATCCACTCTACTCCTGGTATGATGCAACGTATAACAAATCTAGACCACGGCCGTTGCAACCTGTAACTCCTCCAAGTTATCAGGATAGAGGGTTTCTGAACGTGAAATTTTATCTTTGGTGCGGGGGTTCGATCCGTTGTTCTAGCTGACTTTTTTTCTACTGGTTTCAAATTTAATCCCTCGATCCTGCATACAGAATCTGCATCCTTGCACCATATGCAAAAAACAATATCACGCCATCACCACCGTCCAACCCCGGGTACAAATTCCTGCTCAACTAATATCACTATCATGCTGGAGAAAATATTAGAAAATCTTAGACAGCAGTAGGAATCGAACATAAAGCCTACGAAAACTATCTTCAGAATTCGTAACCCTCTACCCTGATAATTTAGAGGCGTTACAGGATGCAACGGCCTTGGTCTACATTTGTTACTCTTTGCATCACAATTGCGACTGCGGTGTAACGATGGGCCCAAAACACAGGTAGCTAGGGCGGAGAATAGTGATGCCAATAGCACACGTTCTTCTACTGCGCTCTATGGAGTTGTCCAGAACTAAGCCACCTACAGGAGAGATGCGAGAGAGGTTTTACGCCACCCATTCACTGTTCATGAGGGATACCGTATTATAAGTTAGCTGGTTCGTCTCGTGGTTGCTTTTCAACAGATTGTGGCCACCAGTAAAATATTCTTCAAGCTCCGGTTACTCGTTTTATTTGAGCTTCGTAGAGGTCACTGGTTGTATGGTGCTACGGCTTGCGGGTTCATCGGCGGAGGCCTAGGGGCTGCCAAGGCAACTGAATTACAAGGTTTTGGTAACCTAAATGGTTCCCCTGTTCATCCCCAGCTATGATACTGATACGGTAGTTTTGTCATGCCCTCGAAACTGTCTATGTAGTACTGAACACTAATCTCGAAAGTGTGATCTGATCATCGGATAAGCCATCTAATCTAATGACCTATTCGCACCTTGGTGCCTGCCGACCCGAGGGGGGGGGGGCATCTTAGCCACCCGGAGCTAAGGGAGAGGAATGGGGGTCGAGAATGCGGGAAAGAGGAAAAAGAAGCAACATATATCCATGACTTGGCCAGTACAGGAAGAAGTGGGGAACGCTTCCCACAAGAGTTACCCATCGACTTGGGATGGGGCTAAAAAGTCCAAGACCAAAAGAGAAAGAATTGCCAAATTCCGTGAGGTCTTGAGGGGCCTATGCTTGTACGATACCAAAGAGCATTGTTCCGAAAACATCTCACAATCCCTCAGTGTTCCCTTTTTCTCTCGGCACCTACCCCCCTGTGTTAGTTTTTGGTTGTCCCACCCTTTGCTTGATTCATCTTCTGCCCAGAGATAGAGGAACTATCCCGAAATGACGAGCACAGTTACTGAGGCTCGACCCCCGCTGCACGGTGAGTCGACACCCCTCCTTAGGAATGGGAACGACCCGAATCTCGAGTCGCAGCCGCACCAAGAGAATAGACACACCAATACCCCCCCGCCTACCGACGATCGGAATGCGGCTAACGACCTCCCACAAGAACTCCCTTCTGCAAAACTTTTGCATTTTCTTGCTGGCAGCTTGGGTTGGGGTCTTCCTGGGCGCTGTTGACACTACTGTGATAACCACTCCTCTTGCACCAATTTAGACTTCATTCTCTTCATTCAATTCTATCTCCTGGACAGCAACCGGGCACTTTATCGCCGATGCTGCTTTACAACCGTTCTTTGGAAAATCAACCGATATCTACTGACGCAAATCTGTCCTTGGGCTGTGTAATGTTATTTCGGCATGGGAACGTTAATGTTTCGTCTTACGAAGGATCAATACTCCATGATTATTGGTTGGAGATGGGCATTCGTCCTACAAATTCCTTTCATAGCGATTTCCGCTGCGTTGGTGTCAATTTTGGTGAAGATTCGCGAGAAGAAGCCCGAAGAGGTAAGGGATCGAAGGATTGATTACCTTGGTTGGAGCACGTTACTGTGTTCTCTGGTTACCCTCTTGCTGGCGTTGAATACAGGCTGAAATACGCTGCCATGGACCAACCCCGTTGGGATGACATATCTACCCTTGGGCGCGGTTTTTCTAGGCGCTTTCTCCATGGTCGAGTTGTGGTATGCGAATGAGCCGGTCGTTCCAGTTATACTGTAGGGGAATGGAACTATGTCGACGGTTTGCTTTACAAATTGGTTTATGGTGATGAGCGTTTTCGCTGTTGTGCGTCGGCGCCTACCCATCGAGACACACAGAGTTAATGATATTGTCCAACAGTACTTTTAAACTCCAATATACTTTATCTTCTGCGGTTACTCCACTGCGCAGGCCAGCCTCCGTCTAACGCCCTTCGCCATCGGCACCTCCACCGGAAGCCTAGAGGCAGGCCCCATCATAAATGCCACTAGAAAATACTACATCCTCGGCCAAACCGTCATGCTAAAATTAGTCCAGGGAGTGCTCCCGATCTGTGCATTCCGCCTGACAACCCCGCTCTTTCCAAATTTCTTCAACCTTTTCACGGCCGGCGCTGGTTACGGTGGAACACTAACCGTCGCTCTACTAGCACTAATCTCCTCGGCAGACCACAGCGAGCTTGCCGCAATTACATCTGCCAACTATGAATTGCGTTCCAAGGGTAGCACAATTGGTACCACTGTTGGTAGTTCCATCTTCCGGAATGTGTTGGTGAGGCAATTGCGTGTGCATTTGGGGAGTGAGAAGGAGGGGGAAGGGATTATCCGGAGGCTGAGGGAGAGGTTCGATGAATTTGACAGGTTGTCCGAGGTGTGGAAGGGGAAGGCTGCCCTTGAGTATATGGATGCGCTACACGCAGTCCTTTGGACAGCGCCTGAACTGGGTGTTTTGGCGTTCCAGTATTATACGCAAGCGAGGCAGCGCGCACAGCACAAGACGTTGGATAGGAAGTAGGGAGTCTACAAGGGAAGGTGCAGAGGGGGTAAGAAATATGGGTGGAGCGCGGGACAGAGTGAGAAGTCTGAAGCGGGTGGAAGCCAAGGAGAGAGGTTATTATTATTATTGGAGATATTTGAATGAGAGTTTCTTGTGGTCCTCGATTTTCTTATCCTACCGGAGGTGTCCTATATATACATCACTATCCATCATACATAAGAAAAATCTCTTCCAAGAGTCTCCCATCTCTTTCTCTTCGTCAGTCCAGCTGCCATCTCCGTCCTTCCAGCATCTAACAAGATTTTCTGTAACACAATGATTGTGATGCGACACATTCCCATCTCAGTATGTTAGAAACTAAAAGAAAAAAGGCCTTTCCAATCCATAGCGTTCAACGCTAGTTTCAAACATCCTCTCAAACATCCTTTCCGACACTTATGATTTCAGACCTGCATCCATTTCTCATACACTCCCTAAAACCAAAACCAACTTCTGAGTTTCCAACTTCTAACATGTAAGATCTTTCTAGCCCCCGAGTATCACATCAAAATGTAAAGCAAGCTTCATGAATTTTAACAGTTATGAGACGAGAAGTGTGACGAGGTATCGCCGGACATGCTGTATGTACTGGTATGATACTCTCCATATTACAGAATAGCCCTTTCGACGAATGTACTCCAAACAATTACCAAACCCACACCCACTCTGAACTGGCATACCAGTAAACAAAAAAAACTAAAGTTCACAACCCTCTTCCAGACATCAAAAGCCATCCACTTGGTGACCACGGATTTTTGCCACTGCCCCACACCTTTTCTCAGTCGCGTTTAAAGATCGGGTACACAATGTTACTACGATCCCTCTCACCTGCCGCGCTGCTAAAGCCCTCCCCTTCAAACACATGCCCTAAATGGGGGCCACAATTGGTACAGATGATCTCCGTCCTGTGCGTGCCAAAGCTCCCATGCTCGCGCCGACCGATGGCACCCGACGTGCGCTAAAAGAGGGCCGGCCACCCGTACCTGCCGTTGAACTTGCTGGTGCTCTTGTACAACGGTGCGCTGCAGCCCGCGCAAGTGTAGCCTCCTGGGGACGTGTGGTGGTTGCATGTCTGACTGTTGGGGGGTTCAGTGCCACATCCACGGAGGATGCGGAATTGCTCTAGGGAACGTTAATCGGCGGGGGAGCAGTGTACAAGGGTAGAGGATCGCACAGCATTCATCGTAGGACTTTTGGACCGGTGGGTTAGTGTTTGTGGACATTTTGTTGGTGGTCTTGTTGGTGGCGGAAGGGCTGAAGGATGAGCCCATTAAGTTCCTGGGGGTGTTGAGTGGGAGCGGGAGGGGGCGGGAGGTTACTGTTATATACTTGTGGATGGGCGCAACGAGGCTTGTGCTTGCGCTGCGGAGGACGCAAGCACAGACGACTAGCAGGCGCATCTGCCATTTGGATGCAGTGAGGTGGAGTTCTGAATTGCGACTGGGAATTTACAGAACGATGATACTTTCTTTTTGATACGTGAAGTTGGGGGGAGGGGTGTTGTGGGGTGGCTACGAGTATGGAGGGGTGGCTTGGCGGCAAGGCCATGATTAATTGGAATTCTTAGAAAAGGTGCCAGTGTGGCGATATTTAGTGATTGCGCAGTGGGCGGCACAGTTACACGGACGAGCACAGTAAGTATGGTATGTTGGGGGGGCTGTGCTGCCACACCGTCATCTGGATCTGCCCATTTGGAAAGCTGGCTACCCGTATCCGCGGCGCTCTGGGGGATGATAATCCAATTCTCGATTGCGGAGATGCACTCAAGTACCAGTACAGCAGTCCAGCCTACTGGTCTAGTGTCTCTCCCAAGCGAGATGATGGGGGACACATCATGGTCGGGCGTCAGTCCAGGGCAGTGATGCAGAAATCGGCGTCCATCCCGCTCTAAGCCAATGATGGACAGACTGGATGCTTGGGGACACCTCCACCACGGTAGGGGGTGTATCGTACCAAGAACAATGCGGGGATTTTGGAGATGGTGGAACCGTGCGGCTTTTATTCCGATGTTATCTACTGAAGTGAGCTGGGCGAAATTACTGGACGCACCCTGCTCCCCTACGCGTACATCTTAGAGCCTCCATGCACGAGTACTGTGCCTGACGTTCAGCCATACAAGACAAACGCCATTCTCGCCTCCGCGGTGCAATGAGGATCAAACGTTTTCCTCCGGCTATCCCCCGAACACGACCCGCCACACCCGAGTAGATAGGGCGATACTTATCACTTGATCCCCGCCAGGCCCTTAATTGGAGAGGAGAAGGAATAAGGGAGGGAGCTAGGAAATTATGATTTGGAGAAAGTCTTCAAACTGGCAAGGGAGGTTGTTTGATAACGAGGGAGAGAGCAACAGTAACCAAAAGCACGGTTTCCCCTACACGTAATGCCTGGGGTTGGCTGATTTGCATGGCTTTGCTTCGGAATGAATCTTTTTAAAAGGAGCCACCCCCATGCTTGCAATATAATAACTTCGCATTTTGCTGCACTGACTACCTAATTCTCAACACATATCTACCAAGATAAGCGAGTAAGGTCCATGCAATACATCTCTCCACCAAAACAAGCGCCACCTTGACAAGGAGTGTGCTTTACAAATAAAGTTAGGAGGATCTCTGAAAGGGGGGAGTATGAAGGAGGTAGGGTAGGCGCTGTGGGGGGTATAGCGGAAAGGTCCTTTTCCCGCAGGCGGTCGTTCTGCGGTAGGGCCGTTCTGCAGTAGAGGTGTCCGGCGTAGGATTGCCTCGAGGCCGGTATCCCCGAAGGACAGCTGAGGGCGCTAGTGGAGGGGGGAGGGAAAATGGGGTCTTAAGATCTTTGAACAATGGAATCAGCTATTCCATATCGTCTACCATTTCCTGGCCACCCCATCCTTTCTAGTAGCTATCGCTTTGGTCCAATCACGGCCTCTCGCCCGCGCGCACTTTTCTACTTCGTCCAAGCCGTTCACCATATCCCTCTTGCTTCTTTCCGGGAATTCAAAATAACCAAAAAAGAAAAAGTCAACCGCTCAACAGACTAGACACCACAGGTAAGAATCAGCCCTTATTCATCCTTCTTACATCGCTACGGTAATATTTGACACGCAATGTGCGCTAGGGAGGCACAATAGATCTCCTTCCCAGCATCTTCCGCACATCCGTAGACACCACATCAGCAGCCGTGCACATTTCCCCCGCGAATTCTGAGTGACTGCATTGGGTGCTGGAACGCGCCTTGAGTAATGGCTGTTACCTGGAGCTGTTCTGAGGGAGGTTTGAATGACTGCGGGCGGAGGCAATAAATAGTACAGTGGTATAGTGGGAGGAATAGCTCTGGACTTTAGCTGTATGGAAGAGGTTAGTGTCAGAAGCTTGGTTTCCTTGTTCGTCCCCCACTCTCTAAAATGGCTGCAAGATTGGGTGTATATGTAAAAGGTGATCACAGATTCCCTATCCTTCCATATATCGCTACCAATATCACTCTTCCTCGGTGCATGTCCCTGTTCCTCCATACACTCGGGTCATAATATGGGAAAGACATATCGAGAGACTTCACTGGAAACCACTAGCGGCCAGAACACTCAACCCTAAACGATCTACCATACGCCTATTACTTTTAGGGTCATCCACAATGTCCTATCATCCTGCCAATATGCGACACCGGTATGCGAGCAGATTCTCAAGTGCCGGTATTAATAATGCACATCCTACATGCCACAGCTTCGTGGCAGCCACTGCCCTCTTGCGCAAGGCACCGCACCTCTCGACAGTGTCTCAAGCTCTTGTGCACTATGCTGCCACCTAGGCTGCGTGCTGGGAAATCGTATGGGTGGGAAATCTTATGGGTTTGTCTTTGGGATTGCGTATGTTAGGCTCCGCGGCAGGTTAATATCATAACCCCAGTTTGGGCACGTGCAATGACCAGGAGAGTGAGAGGTCAAATAGTCCTGTGTCCTGCCCTCTCCCTTGTAAGGGGTTTAGTTGTCACTTGGCCTACGAGTATTTGCAAGCTCTTCCTGCGGATAACATAATTACAGCAAGGTATCCCCTATAGCACACCAAAAATCAACCACTCATAGAGTGCGGTACAGTACAGGTAGGGGAGTCTTTTTTTCTCACCAACGTCATGCATGCGGCCAATGCACCCCAGGCCAGCGACGGGGGCAACCTGTTCAACCTGCCTGTATCGTACTGGTAGCGTCGCCTAACCCATTCGGGATGCCACAACCACTACCGTATCATACCCAGGCACAAAAACGATGATCTCCCGCTCCATCCCGAAGATGATAGGTTTCACCCGATCAACCCTCCTTTGAACCTCAAGACCCTGTCTTCACACACCACTATCCCTGCCATGAGTATTGGGAGCCTCGGTACTACCCTTTAATGAGCCAAACCCATGCTTTGCTAATTAAGAACACCCATTCATCCCAAGCCATTGTTACCAACGCCCTGATAGCCCTCTTGGCGGGTCGGTTACTCCCCTCTCAAGGCCAACACCATGCGAGTACCCGGTGTTAGGACGAGAACTTTAAGGCCCGAATTTAGCATGAGTACCCGGGCGTGCACAGAAAATTGGACTTACAAATTTTTACCACAGGGTTTCTTGCTCCGAGCGCCTCATCCTTGTTCTCCAGCTCCCTCTCCCTCATTCCCCTCGCCTACAGTCTAGTAGTGGACTACATACACTCCCCGAGAGCGAGAGCCACTCTTGCGGCAGGCCTGGTTGCGCCTGGCCATCTCTGTTCCCCACGTGACATGGGTTGACGCTTCACTGCGAGGTGGGGCATCTCAATTAACGAGTGGCCAGTCCGATTCCCGGGTGCGATAGGGTAGGGGGTACGGGAATCAAGAGAATGGACAGCCTCCGGGTTCATGTATGGAATAATCACAAAATAGAGCTTTCTCTGGAATCCCACAGCGACTAGACAGCGGATATTCAAGGCAAAGGATGTGATTCGCTTGGGAGGACCAAGGCTTGATCCCTCTGGTTTTGCTATAGTTTCTATCAACTCGACGGATTTGGTCACCAACTACTTTCTGCCAATGTAGACGCCAGTGCACACGACCCCGATGCGGGTAATTGTCCTCATTTCACCGCTTCAGTTGAGTGCTCTACTTCTATATATACGAAGTAGATAGAGAACACTTGTGCACTTTTCATACATCAGAATCCTCTCCCACCCGCATATCGCAATAATAGTTGCCTTTCACAAAATAACGAAGACGGTATCTCCCTCCTTATCCAACACCCCCACACAGCCAATGAACCCCGCTCCAATGTCTGCTACCACAAGAGCTATGATAGGTGGTGCTCAAGGTGGGGTAGACGGCCAAGCACAGGGCTTATTTGATGGGGAATTAGCCATCCTGGAGGCAGTGAGGGCGGTGTGGGGTTTGCTCAGTACCCACTATGTGGGGGACTTTGCTGTCGCTGGGGGCGCCACTATCCCAACAAGGGATGTTGATTTGGGTATTACAACCGAATCCATGGATGCGTTCAAAATGGCCGCTGCCACGGATAGCAGATTCTCCCAGTTCCCTCTCGGTTGGGAGCACTGCTTAACCCTCGGGATAAATATTGCAACTGATTTCATACAATTGGAGGTGGCTATCTCCATCAATTGCAAGCCTATTTTATGGATAGCACCCTGTCGGTGGCCAGTCTGGTTGACCTGGTGCTAGTGAAGGGAATAGCCTGTATTGACCGCGGATAAAAGAAAGACCAGGATGGTTTGCAGTTTGTGGTCAGGATGATGGTATGAAAGTGACAGAGTTTTTGGAGATCGGAAGGTGAAGAGAGGGAATTGCTCGAAGAGGTTATTGAGGGCCTAGATTGTATTGAGGGAAGGTGACTCCATAGGATCATAAGAACCCTGTTATGAGTACCATAAAACGTCATCTTGTTTTTATGGGACGTGTGAGGGCTCATGCATGGCACAGATTGACTGGTATCATAGATTTAGAGTCCTGTAAGTGTGGATTACAGGGTGCCGGCACTTGTGATTACGGAAGCACATTTGTACAGTACAACTACATGTATTTTGAACCATGAGTTAGTAACAAGGAATGATTACAAAAAATTGCAGGGGAAATGCAGCGATAAATGGTGTTTCATTCGGATCCTGATTAAAGTAATAAAACGAAGGGTGAAATGGCATAGCTCTTGTGTTGCTCCTTGTACTGAGATACCTGTGAAAACTGTAATAATCGAGTTGTGTGCTATTTTTTTGAAATGCTGAGCAGGTCATTTCCTGCAGTACCTCCTCCCCTTTCCCGAATAAGAGAATTCTGGACTATGTAAGATTCAATTTGATCACTCCAGTTTTTCTTCTATGATACCATGTTGATAACAGGTTTTTACCAAGACTGGTACAATAAAGCTATGTTACCCAAGCGCCCCCCACAGTTCTCCATGGTAAGATATTATCATAATAATATTCTTATGTTAAACATTTTTTGGTACATATCTTTGGTGCCTCCTTCATCCGCTTAGGAGCAATTTTTGAACACTCTGTCCTTTCACATACACCAACATTTCTCTTGCTATTACTTTCACCTTTACCTTCAATACTGTGAGCAAAAACCAACAAGATTGACTGTAACCGGAACTGGAATCCAGTTCAGGGATTTGTTTTATGTTTTGTTTTACATGTGGTTTTGAGTATCCCTTGATACTCTGTTTGTTTTACTTGTGGTTTCCTGTATTTGTTGAAACTCTAGTTGTTTGAAGTATTTCCTTGATTGAGGAACACTTGGTAAACCCAGCCATACAGGACATGGACAAAATTATCTATTTAAAGACTGCTGATTCCCTCAATGGAACAGCCGACTTTGACAGACAGTATTTCTAATATACTTGGTTGAACAGTTACCTCTTCAAGTCCCTACCCCCTAAATCTTTCTCTTGGAGCCTCCCTTAGTACAGTGTGCCTGTGAGTTGTAGACAAAGTTGCCCACTACTCCTATTGTACCCAGAAGGGTGACTAGCACCCTGGTGCAAACACATTATATTGACCATGAGCATTGGAATTCTGAATCCTTCTCATCAGTACAGATAGCACATAGTACAATCATTCCCTCTTCTTGGTTGCCAAGTCCTGCTTCCTTGTACTCTGTTTATTCTACTCTGAGTGCTTTTGATCATCCCTTGATCATGGTTGCAAAATATATATTAAACTAGATGGGGGTTCCAGTATTCACCTCACTGGCACATGTATGCATGACTTACCTGCCCCGATGATAACCGAGTTCTCATAGCTAACATGACTGAGTTAGATAGCGGATATCCTAGTACAGAACTCACACTTGGTATCCATATACCAAGCCTTTGTCCAATCTAGAGGGTGGCTGGGGGTTGATGAATCCATCATGCCAATATTTCTCATGGGAGGTGATCTGGTGGAATATCACTCCATCTAGCAATTGAAGAGATATAATAAATCATGGTATATTTATCGCTGAACTGAGAAGTTCCACCATATTTCAGTCAACACCGAGAAAGTCTGGGTCCTGCACTTCCTGGCTGTCAATAGCGTATTGGTGGAATCTGGATTCTATCCCAGTGCCTCAGACTGAAGCATGAAGCCTTATCTTCTCACTAACAAACACATCAAATTCGTGGGGGATTGGCCAATCACATTTCCCGTCTTCATACCAACCATCCTGGATATTGTATATAGACCCATGTTACGATATGATCCACGATAAGGGCTATATCAAACACATATTGCATGTTCTACTAAAAATACACATGGCCTATGCCCACTTGAAATACGGACTACGCACTTTACCACAAATGGACATTGACCTTTAGGCCCAGTATCTGGTTCTCAGCTTACCGCACCAGCAAGATAAGCATCTGGTCAAGGTCAAGAATTGCAAGAAGTTAGCTGAATCTTTTACTCAGGGGGAGCGGCGCTAAGCGAGAAGGATGAAAAGAATAAGGAAGAGATGTGCAAAACATGCTGGTGATTCAAAGCCCCTGGACATTCCTTTACAATTCCGAGATTGGACCAGATGAGTCAATTAAATGTATTTGTCCTAGAATAACAATATGTTGACAATATGTTAGCATTCCAGCTTTTCAATGACCATTGTCATTATATTTATATGTTTCTGTAGCTTGTTGAAGAGTTTAAAGCTGTTATTCTTGTATAATTTGTTCGAAATGTTTTCAATGGGGTCATTGCATTGCTATGGGGGAAGTGTGCGGAGGACTAGCGACATGTATAGTGCCCACGATTGGGGTTGGCTTATGTTCATCATGTTTTACTTATACCCCTTAAATCGAAAGTCTGTCATCAACCCTTACATATCCACAGACAATTGCTCCACCACAACCTACTCGTAAGAACTGCATCCTCCTCTCGAAACCTCCTAGCACTACTGGAGGCTCTGGCTTATAGGAATACTTAATTTATGAGTGACAGCTACCAACGGAGTTCCCCTACTGCGAAGGCTCCTAGAAGGGGGTAATTGCGGTATTGCCACTGGAGGCTATATCTTGGGGACAGATTTTTTGATTTTGGCAAGTACTTTTTTCCTTATCCCTTAATATTTTTACAAAGTTACATCACATGAAGCATTAGTAATGATCTTAGGGTTTAGGTAGGGGTCAATTGATGTTTTTCTTGTAGTTTCATGGTGTAGTTGTATCCAACAGCACGATTTCTGGTTGAGTCCTCACCTAGTAAACCCAACTTAGCCACTATTCATGGTGGCCGAGCTGCACACCTCCCCTCCCTGGACTGCTGCTCTACCTTTGCTCCACCCCGGAAACCGGGTATGTTCTCCCGGAGCCGAAAGGCAATCCCGCAGGTTAGGGCCGAATAGAAAGAGTATAGACAAGATCTGAACCTTGGTATTCGAGGCCCCAGACCATGTTGAAAAAAATTACAGTGGACCATTCCTACCGCATAGGATAACATTTGAGGCGAGGGAAAGCGTTCGGAAGCTGAAGGATAGTCCTCCACCCATCGAGTTTATTCAGCAATGGATTCGGATGCCCTATGGGAGAGCACAGTATCTATTACCAGCGCCACTCCTTCCTTGCGTTGATAACTATATTCATCAAGATCACAAAACATCACTCGATAAACACCTATATTTCAAGCCATGCATCGTGAAGACACTGCGCCGGCTCCGGCTGGATGGACGACAGCGGGCTTGTGTCTTCCGAACACAGGAATATATTAAAAACCCGTCAAATTTTATAATATAGAATTACTTTGAAGGAGAGAACCTAACGACAATATTCTGGCCCCTAGCGGGCGATTGCTAAAGCTACTATCTCTAGTGAGCCCCAAGGTAGATAGCACTTGCCTGCGTATTCCTCCGGAGAAACTAACTTACCGGTATACGTCCCCTCGTTCTCACAACTGCTGGGCGGGTGATGGAAGAGGTTAAGGGATTCGGGAATGGTGGGGTGGCGGTACCTTTTCACCAACAATCACTTGACCTTTTCGAATAATACCACCAATAGTTGCTGCGGATAAGGATAACCCTTTTTGGAGCTTGGTAAATAATTTACAAAAAGTGAGAAGCCCCATATATACACCCCACCCACTGTCCGCATAAGCTCCAGATATGAAAATATGGTTACATTGCCAGCGCAAAACTGCAGTTGCACCCCCCCCCTTTCGTAGCCTCCTACCCCTTTCTCGGTGTTTGCACCCGTAGCTGCATCATTCCCTTCTCATCTCTACGCATCCTAATCATTTCTTCGAGCATCTCCCCGGTCCCCTTCCCCGCCATTGCCTTCTCCTGCAGTCCTCTTTCCCCCTCTTTTGCGCCCTAACCATTTCGAGATGACTCTCTCTAGCATCCCGCTTCCTCTAAAGCCTTGCAGCCTTCTTCGCCTTCAGGAAGGTGGTCATCTTATCCTTGAAAATAGACTTCACCCCATTATGGTAGGGGTCCTTGATTGTGACAAACTTTGACATTGTCTTCCTGCTGCCGCCACCAATCTTTATGTTTCGGCTTTTGTGAGCTCTCGCTCCAAGCGCCCAGAGATCACCCCACCCGCTCTACCTCGCGTCTCTGTACTCCAATTTTCCGAGGCTCTGGGGAACAACCTAGCATTCGATGGAGCCCGTCGGAGTGCATAAGTCGAGTATAATGTGCGAGTCGCGTTTGATAGGTGGGAGTATGAGGCGCGGAAGGGTCTAACTGTAATTGCAGAGTTGTTGCATTGTGCACGGGCTCTGAATTGGCGTATCGAGTTCGCCGTCAAAGGGGGTTATGCCAAAGCCGTCTATCGTTGGATCAATCTAGGTTCTTCATGTCAGCGCAGCAGTCGATACCACGACGGAAGGCGACATACGAGTACTCGAGATCTTCATAGTCTTTTTTCCTTTAGATGATTCATCCATGAGTCTCTGTAGATAGCCGGGGCGTTCATAGCGCTGCGAGAAGCGGCAGTAGCCTTCGCGGTTGGTACCGTCTGTAGGGCCGGAGGGTAAGGGCATTGTTCTTGGTTCGTGCACGGGGAGATTACAGCGCCGGGCTCCTTTTCGATAGGGGGGTTGGCGAAGCCACCGGCATTCTTGGTCGGGGGAGATTGGAAAGCTTTGCCAAAGTCCTGGATCCAGTCCTCTAGGGTAGTGGAGCGGCGCAGGCGACAGCCTCGAAGCCCATTGGCATGCCTATTTCGATGACCGAAAGGGCGCGACCATTCGGATTTAGGTGCTACCAGAGTTGTTCAATGGTTTGGCGGCGGAAAAAAGACTTCCCTATCAGGAGGATTCTGTTTGTAGCAATGATCAGATCGTAGAGTTTTCTCAGCTGAACCTTATCATTCTCCATCAGGACGCCCGGCGTGTAGTGTATGTTTTCCAAATAGGTATCGGGCACTCGGGGAATAAACAGAGTATCGTCCAAGAGCCTCGAAGGCCACTGCCCGCAATGCACTCCTCTCCCTGGCGGCCGGCAGTTCCTTCCCACCTGGGCCGGGTGGCAGCTTCCCTGTTCTCTCCGAAAGCTCACCCTTTCTTCTCTCCTCTTCCGTTTGGACAATACTCTGCTAAGCAAGTACCCGAGCGCCCCTACCCCCCACACCAAGCACATTCTCGACACCCTGCTCCCTCTCATCCCGGCCGAGCACCCAATAACCGCCCAACCGTTTCTGCAGCTTGGCCATAGAACTCAAGCACTGCGCACACAGCCTCGGCATCACCACAGTGAAAAACACGTTGGTCTCAATACCCCACATTGGAATGTTAGTCGGGTTCAAGGGAATGGTCAGCTCGTGGTTACTCCAGTTCTTCGAGTAGATGGGTGAGAATTGGAGGTGTGGACTGCGGAGAGTCCAATGCGTCGAGCTTACTATGTGCGGGGTGGCGGCCTCCGCTATGAGAGACTCTGTCTGGTCCCTTACCGATGGCGGAAGTCGGATATGAGACGTCGCGAACCGACCGACTTCAGTGAGCAGGTGTGTCCGATAGAGACGAGGAGAACCACCTGTACGGAGGTCATCATCTCTTCCTTCTTCTTCCACCCCTACCCCTTCAGGATGCGCGATCCGCTGGGCAACCGGTGCGTATAGGGCCTCCTCCGCGGCATCTTTGAGTGTGAAAAATGGTAGAGCTCCTTCTCGACCTCTAACTGGGGAATCTCTCGGGAGAGCTCCTCACGCGTCTCGCCCGGCTGCAAGGCTCGGGTCGTGCAGCCACATTAGCTCCTGCAGATCCTGTATTCACCCTAAGGCTATGACACACGTAGACCCAAAGTTAGTCTGTGAATCTAGCTTCGTCAAGTCATTGGCAATCCAGTTCATGAAGTTCGCGTAGTGTATTTCGTTCCGCAGCAAAAGACAAAACGCTGGGTCGGTTCTTCGTAGTCCCCAGTTGGTCTGCTGTCACTCCTAGATATTGTCATTCAAACTATCCAAGTTGTGTCACAGGGATGTCTATATTATGTCAGTATGACATCTCTAAGAGTTTATGCCCCTAAAGGAGCAGTTTATCCCACCTAGGAAGTCAAGCAAGTCACTTCTATCACTTGTTCCCAGGTACTTTTGTCTCCCATTCCACCGCGACTCAGAAAGTCACGCAGAATCAAATATCGAGTGATATACAGTGAAAATGTTCTCCCAAACCTCAGTACTGGGTTTATCACGAATTATGGGATGAAAGGGGAATAGCAATCCGTAACTTTTATATAAACACCCCAGTGACCGCGTCTGGGACGCCCTACGACTGAAATAAAAATAAATCAATTCTCAGATATCCTCTTCCTTAGTTTGTTCTTAGAGAACGGCCAGCCAGCAGGGGAAGCTCATTGGACAGGTATTAGGTGCTCTAATGCACTATAGTCACTCAGAAAAGCCACGATTCTATCCCAGACACTCCAGGTTGTTTGTCCAATTGCGACGATGTCTCCCCAACCCAAACTACTCTTATCCCTGCAAAAACTGTACGCTGCCGGCGAAAAGAAAGTATATCTTCACCACGCCGGCTGGGCACAGCGAGTAAAGCATGTGGGTCTCTTCATCCCTCTTTTCGTCATCCCAGCCTTCTGCTTGTTGAAACCCACAATGTCTGGTTTTGGTGTTTCGGCACTCTCGCCACCACAGTTCATGTTTGGAAAACTCTTCATATGTTTGGAAAATGTTTTATCTGTTTGACCTAACTAGTCTGCGTCTCATCTTGTTGATTGAAACGGATTGTGAAGGAAAAATGTCTAGCCTTGTATCAAGTTGGATTTAGTACAGTTTCAGCTAGGGGAATAACGGTGGATCTCATAGTTATTTCTTATCTTTTCTCCACCGTACTCGAGTTAGTTTTTCCTTCATTATCATACTTTATAAGAAGTCTGGCACTTCATCTTTCGTTTATGATCCTCATGCAAAGTTATTTCTTTCCATCATTATTCTTTATTCTTTTTGTCACGCTCATTGTTGCTCTTAGTTAGAAGTGAATACACCGGTATCCGCTCCTTTACCGCATCTACTTCACACTGCTGATACAAATGTTGCCATTATAACAAAATAAATTCTGGGCCTGACTTGTCCTGATGGAACACTGCGTTAAGGATAGTAAGTAGTAGAGTAATACGAATGGAGTAGGCTTTCAATGACAGACAAACCATTTGAAGGGCTACTTGAGTAGAAAATCTAGTGTACCTTCCTATTGAAGAAGCCCATTTCGGAGGTTCAATACAATAACCGGATCGCGTGATTACGCATAACAAGGGTGATCAATGGAGTAAAAAGAGTGCGGATAAACGGATACCTGGTCTGTATGAGTTTTAATATCTGCGTTTTTGCTGTATTTATTTTCTTTTGAGCTTTCCCTGAGCGCAACACTTT